TCAAAACGTTTTATAGCAATGCTTATCAGTATTTTAACATTCCAACAAATTATTTTAATGATTCAACAAGAAATTATTTTCAGATCTGCTTTTAGCAAAATTTTTAGACTTTTTAACAAAATCGTTTTTTTCGTGTGGTCGTTCAATCTTATTAATTATTGTATTTACAATTACAGGCGGGCAAAATCTATAAAGAATTTTCTTTTAAATTTTATATATTTTTTTGCATTTTATAATACAATAAAGTTAAATTAAATTTGAGTTAATAAAATGAAACTCAATAATTATTAAGTTTTGCGAAATCAATTTTGAAAATTATCAGAGTTGAGAAGGTACTCGTTATTGTTATTTCTTTTTGGTAACAATTGTTACTTTTTTCTGTCTATAACAATAACATCATTACATTTTTTACAATAATAATAAATTCAGCCGTTACTTTTACCATTATAAATAAATTTAAGCTTGTAATAGTATACAAAATATTACATAAAATTTAGGAATATAAACGGATATTTAAAAGAAAAACAAGATTAAGTGACTAAAGCATATATTAAAAAAACACGTGAATTACATACAGTAAATATTTTTATATAATATATCAATAACTCATCGAATCGAGCTGCACACAGGCTTCTTTAGTGATATTATAAATTATTATTAAGTCTTGACTCTAACAATGTTGGCATTTATTATTAAGACGACCATATTGCTTTTACTATTACGTAATTAACTAATGTATTACAATATTTAATACAATCTTTATCTTTGCGTGTCAAGAACAATTTATAATATCGCTGAAGAAAGTTTTGTCCAACTCGAAACGTTCGATGAGTTATTAATGTATGAAGAATATTTACTGTATGTAATTCACGTTTCTTTAATACACACGATTGAATCTTAAATTTTTATTTTCTTATATGCTCGTTTCCATTAACCTAAATTTTATTGTTCTATCGTTATCTTATACGAAAAGAATTTTGCTGATGGATCAAAAAATTTAGATAAAAATATTTGTTGAATTATCAAAATAATAATATTGGAGGCTTAAACTGGAATATTAAAATTTTTTACTACATTGATCATCAATATTGAATTTCTAACATAATTATTTTGATGATCTAGCTAAATTTTAGGATTTTTAACAAAATCGATTTTTCCGTGTAATATAGTTCTTTATTATCTTTATTCAATAGTATTTATTCAATAGATTGCATTATCCTCGATTAAGTAAAAATATTATATTTATATAGAAATTTTAATATTAAAAAATATTTTATACTTTATACTTTATAACTTAGATATATTCCAAATCACTGCTAATATTGAAAGTATATACATATGACTATAGTATACATGTAACGCGAACTGTAGATTTTCAGTATTGGCAGTAAATATTGAACTATACACTCTTAAAAACAATGTTTAAAAAATTTTAAGCATTGTTTTTAAAAAACGTTTTATAAAATTTGCATTTGTAACACATAATCTAAATTTTTATAAGGTTATGTTATATGTATACTAAAAAATGAAAATATTATTAACATAAAGAACCAAAAGAATTATTAGATAAATTTAATATAAAAAAAGCTTGCTACACAGAGACTACTGCTTGGAATTTTTACTATTTTAATATTAATTATTAGATTTAATATTGATTAAATAACGAAATTTTAAAATCTAATATTTTTCTTTAGCATTACAAAAAAATAGCAAGAAGTGACGAATCGTTATTTTCTAAATAACAATTATAACGATATCGTGAACTTTTTGAAATTAGTAACTAATAACAAGTTATTTTTTATAAAGTAACGATAACTGTAACGCGATACCTTTACAAAGTAACGTTTTCAGCTCTAAAATTAATTATACTGATTATTAAGAAAGAAAGATCTTAAATAATATTAATTATTATGAAGATTTGCTTTACATATACATTTACTCATACATTATATGCGTTTCTCCCTTAAAAATTGTGCAGTTTTTTTTTTAATTAAGACAATGTCATCCAAAAGGGCTGAAAAGGCCAATTAATAGCAATCGATAATTTTAAGACCTTTCTTGCGCAGGTTGCATTTTTACGGCGTTTTCTTTGTACAAGAATGGTAAGGAGCTGTTGCGAACTGATAGACGCCGAGGATCTATCCGCTGTCTGGACGGCTTGCGTTTCCTCAGCATATGCTGGATCATTTACGGTCATACTTATTACATGGAGGCTACCAGTATCAAAATGGACCTTACGCATATTCCAAATGTAAGCTATACAATTTTAATTTTGCACAATTTTGCATGACAAAATTAGGTGAGGAGGGGGGGGGAATCAACACACTAAATGTGTCTCTATATTATTTTTACAACTTATATAATTGATCCTCTTCGCATTGCAACAGTTAAAAAAAGCCACACTGTCCTTTCTTAATTCTTAAAATTCTGTGCCTCGATCATCTTGATTGAAAAAATTATTCTTATCGTCAAAAAGATGCATTACGATTGGAACAACATGCTGGTGCTCAACGGCAACATTGTCACGGATACTTTTTTCCTACTAAGTGGAATCCTACTCGCTTACACCGAACTGATGAAGAAGGAACGCGCCGCCTTAAAGTGGCGTTTCGACATGATAGGACTTTACGTTCATCGTTATGTAAGGTAGGGTATACGTATATATACACAAAGCCAAATTGACTTTTCTCGCAATCAATCTCAAGTTTTCATTACATTCCTTAAATTACGTCCATAAATTAGACTCGTAAAGATATATCTCATTTTTTTTATTTAACGAAATTATTATATAACTGTTATATAATTATTATAGTAATTTTTATTTTCTCTTTGTAATAATATTGTTTGATCTGTGTCTTTCCTTTTTCTTTTTTTATTTTATTTTTTGAATATGTTCGAATCATTGATAGTTTCTTTCCTTTTATCAGATTAACACCGGCCTATGCGATGATGATCGGTTTTTATGCCACTCTATTCTACAAATTCGGTACAGGCCCGCACTGGGACGCCTTGGTTGGCTCTAACAAAAACTTTTGTCGCGAGAATTGGTGGACCAATTTGCTTTATGTTAACAACTATGTCAACGTACCGAACATGGTAGATTAACTCTTTAATTTACTTCTTTATATCCTAATTCTTTATATAATACAATATATCTTTCGCGTGTGTTATTCATTGTTGTATTTATTGTACTAAATACAACAATCACGTGTTGTGCAAGTTAATTATTTTGTAGCAAAAAAAAATGGTAGATATATTTTGAAATCTGTAAGAATGCTGTAAATCTCTTTTTATAATATTTTTATTACTTTATATTCACTTTTTTATCTTTAGTTTGAAATGCTATCTTGCGCTTTCCGGCGCTTTCTGAATTTTTCTTGATTTGCGTAGGATATCTTACTTTTGCGAGGATATCACTCTTTTCTTATGTTTGCTTCTAGTGCATGTCCCAATCCTGGTACCTATCGACCGACATGCAGTTTGTTTGGCTGTCGCCGCTTGTACTGTATCCTATGCTCAAGTTTAGGAGTTTGTTCTTTACGATTGTTCTGGCCGTCTGCTTGTTCTTTTCGATCTTAGTGCCCTTCGTTACAACTTATGTTCTCCGACTAACGGGCACCATGCTCTATTACAAAGAGTGAGTGTAGAATTTTTAATTGCGCGCTTTCGCTTAGAAAATCTTTTAGCAAAGATTTTACAAAAATTTTGAGTATCTTAAAAAACTTCTCTTTTTCTCAAAAAAGAAGTTTACGTCTAAAATATAACGGCCTTATTTTGTTTGATCTAGTTTTATATAACATTTTCTCTCAATTATCTAATTTTAATTCATTTTTAATTCAGTTTAAATATTTTACATATTTAACATTCAAAATATTTATTATTGTAATTTCTTGATGTCATTAGATGTCTAGATCCACTCTCTATGAGTGTTCTCTTTTAAGTCAAAGTTTTTGAGAAAATCAGTTATCGAGCAACTATGAAAGATCGTGCAAGATTATTACCTTAAGTGATGTACTTATTTTATTCCTATGGAAATGGAAATTGCAAGGAAATTGCACGAAATTTCTTGATTGCCGGATTTTAGTAATTTCGTGATCTCAACAGGATGTTGTGTTTCGTAGACAGATGGACTTAACCCAGGTTTATCTGGAGATCTATATAAAGACGTACAATAGATTCGGGCCTTACGTCATTGGTTTAGGCCTTGGATACTTGTTATATAAGACGCGATCTTCCAAAGTCAAATTACGCACCGTAAGTACCAATTATGTACGTTTAGTATTCTTACACTTTTTATCTGATATTTTATTTAATATACTCTCACACGTTTTATCTGATATTTTATTTAATATTAATCGTCCTTCTATTTAACATTAATTGCAGAACTAATACTTATCTCACAGTCAATAAATGTAGAGCATATGTGAACCTGATAAATACTTTTTTTGTATCGTTAATTTATACGCACGTTTTTATATTAATACTTTAAAATAAAACAAAGAGACTAATGAGCCAAGCTAATAATTAATCTGTATATAATAATGGTATAAACCGTATAAATAAATAATAATGTTAAAATATAAAATAAATAAATAAATACAAATCAAATTCAAGCGTTTTGATCTTACAGTGAACGGTCATCAATGAAAAATATTAAGCACAAATACAAAGGTAATAAAATTACCACTTGCCTACGTGTCTTTAAGTTAATTTGAAAATATCATGATCATATGGCGAAGATAATAATCCATACTTGCTGTCATCATTATAAATAAATCCTAGTAACTCTTTTTTAAGATAGACGTAATATCTTAATCATGAAGAGCATCATTAATCATGAAATAATTACAAATGATAAGTTAAATATTAAAATGAACTTTTATACTTATCAGATATATTGCAAATATGTTCAGTCATTCTGATGATCGGGAGACACAGTAGTGTCTTGAGTGTCAAGTGCTACATATATGTTTAAAATTTAGAAAAAATCATATAATGTAAGATCATTACAAAATCGCTAAATCGCCTTCGATGAATACACAGAGCCTAACTTGGCTCATTAGCTTCTTTATTTAATTTAAATTTTATTCTTTTAGGCCACTTCTTTATTTTATTTAAATTTAATACCTTGATAAATAATAGGCATATTTAAATATCTATATAAATATATAAAATTTGAAGAAATCGTAAAATGTAAGATCGTAACAAAATCGCTGAATCGCCTTCGATGAATACACAGGGCCTAGCTTGGCTCATTAGCTCCTTTATTTAATTTAAATTTTATTCTTTTAGGCCACTTCTTTATTTTATTTAAATTTAATACCTTGATAAATAATAGTCATATTGGAATATCTATATAAATATATAAAATTTGAAGAAATTGTAAAATGTAAGATCGTAATAAAATCGCTGAATCGCCTTCGATGAATACGCAAAACTTAGCTTGGCTCATTAGTTTCTTTGTTTAATTTAGTTTGAATTTTATTCTTTTGGCTTCTTCTTTATTTTATTTAAATTTAATACCTTTGGTAAATAATAGGCATATTTAAATATCTGTATAAATATATAAAATTTGAAGAAATCGTAAGATCGTAACAAAATTGCTAAATTGCCCTCGATGAATACGCAGGGCTACGTAATTCTGGGTTGGCTGCTCGCGATCATGGCCGGCTTGTCGGTAATTTTCGGGCCGCGAGGCATGTACTTCGACACTCACGTGTACAATAGGCTGGAGGCGAGTTTCTACGCCGGTTTCCATCGGCAGGTCTTCGTACTCTCGGTCTCCTGGATTGTTTTCTGCTGCATGCACGGATACGCAGGTAAATCAACCGCACGTGCGCCCGCAAGATAATTAACTAAATCAAATTACGTCAACATTAGTCTCTAAAAGTTAATTGTTTCAAGGTCCCATCAATTATATACTTTCCTGGCATGGATGGATACCGCTCAGCAAACTGACTTACTGCGCCTATCTCTCTCATTATCTCTTCATACTGTCGCACGTCGGAGCCGTACGAACTACCGGCAATTTGACACAGATGAACGTGGTAAGCACAAGAAAAAAAAAAGATAAAAGTTCTTAAAATATCGACTAAAAAATAACGAGAACAATAAAAATGTTGTATTTTTTCTGCAGAAACTGTGATATTCGACAGTAATTAATGATACTTATTTATAATTTAATTCACTTCGTGTGCAAACTTTTAAAGTCCATTATCATGTTGTTATCTGCATTGCTACATTTTAAATCAATTGAATATAAATGTATCTATACAAACATATATAAATTATATGTATATCAACTGCGCTTATCTTACATATGTGTAATATTAGGGTAAGGCCACTAGATGTGGCTCAGGCACTTAGTTTTGGATAATTTATTATATTTAAATAATTATTATATTTTTCATTTAAATGGCGCATATCACCAGATTTTTTAGCATTTGTGTTAGCTTTATCGTCAATTGTTTTTTATTTACAAGCAATAAATTTTATTGCACATTTTATTGATATCATTAAGTAATAAAACACGTGACACGTAAATTTAGGTCTTTAAAAATTTATTCAAAGTTCTAATATCTACAAAAGGATTGTCTTAATCTGTTTTTCGGCTTTTATAGAAGGTAGTAAATAGCGTTAGATTTCATGGAAAAAGTCAACATCATGCTCAGTTTTAAATTAAATTTATTTCACGGGTAATCTGAGACCGCAACAAGACGCACCCAGGTCTAATTGTGGATAATTTTCATTGTTTTATTCAATTAAAATTTGAAAAATATTAAATACTTTGAATAAAATCATTTATAAAGTAGTATTATTATGATTAATTAAAACTATTAAATATGTTATTGATTGTTTGATATCTTCTGGATAAAAATATGAATTCTTATTCTTAGGATGATTTAGAACTAAATGGACCTTATTCTACATAAGCGTTATAATTAAATCAAAGCACAAATATAATTTTAAAAAAGACATAGTTATAAAGAAAATCTCTCGTTTATCAGATGCGCGCATATTTCGCCAATTTGGTGCTCACTATGATGGTATCAGTGGTATGGAGTCTCTGTTTCGAGATGCCCTTCATGGCCATCGACAGTATCCTTCTTTCCGGGCACAAGCAAAACTCGTCGAAGCCCTTGAAGGCTTGCGATTCCACGGCATCCGGGAAGGAGATCTGCCAGTCGAAGGAATCCTCGATTATGTACGTAAATGATAATCCTGGGGAATACAGTTGCGGCGTTACCCGCTACGACCTTATGAAAACCGCCAAAGAGAACGGCGCGGAGTTCGTCAATGACGGGACGGAGAGAAATATCGGTAAAATATACTCTATCAGTCCTATAAAATGCAGCACGTGGTCGGCTGTGAATAATAGAACGTCAGACGATTTTGTCAACGTCGATTTTTGTCATATTCTCGACCTCGACAATTGCGGACGACCGAAAGCGCATTCGAACGGACGGGAATCAAGATCGATCGACAACGATCCAGCTTACAGGACGAAGCCAAATCAGTCCTTGAGGGACAGTGGTTAAAAGATCGAGCGGGCTCAATCTAGTCTAGTTACAGTTAATAATATTATTATTAATTATTATGTGAGATAAATTGCGAAAATTTTATAGGATAAGTATATCCTGTTTTTAGCAAGAGAATAAAATAAGAGTAAGAGTGATATAATCGGAATTTTATAGGGAAAAACAAAGTAAACGAAAGAACGAGATTTTGTTTACACATATATTATATAATACAGAGTCTACGATAAACTAGAAATATAAAATATAGGTATATACTTGCGAGAGAAATGTTTGCTGGACAGAGAATTAAAGCCGCAGCTATATATTTTTAAATAATAATAAAAGAGAACTATTTTTTTACTTCATCGATTTTTTTTATTTTATTGATAGTGATTTGTGATAAAGCAAGATAATGTGTTATTATTGATAACTGTGCATTAGATGATGCATATATTGTAGAAAATGCTTACGCAAAGAGAATATACGTATTCATTTGATATGATGAACGTAATTACCGATTTATCGGTGCGATTTGCAGTATTAATTGAGAGAGTTGAAGTTATAAAGAATTTTACTTCATATTGAGAAAAAAATTTAGGAAATATTTAAAATAATATAAATTTTTTCTTCACGACGACTGTCCACTGCGATTATTCGAGGATCTGCGCTTTAATTTCCGTTTTTGGTATTGTTACATTTTACGTTCTCGAACAAGAGTTCTAATAATGTCTTTTATATTCCAGATCCTTTATATCCACCGGTTTCCGTTTCAATTTCTAGCTTTAATTTGTACCGTAACATTGAGAATGACCTGATCAAAACATTTGTTATTGATTATACCATTTGATGTAAGTATTTTAACTAATCATATTGGAGCATTAAATACCCAGTTCTGGCTCGCATAGCCCACATTTTATTTATTTTTATTTTATTAATTTATTTTTTTTTAAATGTGAATTATGATAAACGAGAAACAACTAATATTTCTATTCTCTCTTTCTCCAACTCTCTCACGAGCCTTTACCATCGAATTATTTCGGCATAATTATATGCTTTTTAATGTATAATAAAAAGATATTACTTCCTTGTTTGTTTCTACTGTTTGTTTAAATAAAAGAATTAATTGTTAATTATTTGTTAATAGAACAACATTTGCCTGTATAAGCGCCGTTTTGAATTGATTCGACCGCGACGAACGAATCGAACAATGCCAAAATAAAAGCGCATTGCCAAATAAATCGTGTTGTTTATTTCGTTGTTTATACGTGTGAACGTATATAAGGCCTATATTTAGGCCTCTACTTTCTCTCTCATATTTCCCTTCCTTCACACGTATTCTACCCTTTGAGAAAGGGAGCGACCCGTCCGAACGGATTCGAGGCGCGGCTTAAACGGTCTGAGAGTAAGCCGAGAAAACAATGCGGAGTCTGTGCGGGATCCACAGAAGTAATCGATACCGCGACTCGATTCACACGGGACGAAGAGAAGACGGAAAATTTATCCTTTGTACACTTATACTGTGGGAAGAGGAGTGCTGTCGTGCGACGTGAAGAGTAGTTTTAGAAACCAATGGACAAAACTACGATTAAAATTAAAAAGTAGAAACATTCCCAGAAACGATCAACAATTTAAATATATAAATAGGCTGGTTGGAATCAATGCGGTAATTATTGCGCAAAATTATAAATTTTAATTAACACAAGTTTATCCCGTTCATATAAGGGTATTTTCAGGCGTTTCGGCCATCCTTCTGGCCATCTTCAGTGATACATATATACTAACGTAGTAGTCACGTTTTTTATATTGAAACACGATAATATGGTCTACGTAATACTGATTTTGTGACTACTACATTAATATATGTAGGTTGAAGGTGGCCAGAAGGATGGCCGAAACGCATGAAAATGCACTTATATGAATGGGATAAACTTGTGTTAATTATTAAAATTTATAATTTTGCGCAATAATTACCGCACCAATTCCCACTAGCCTATTTATATATTTAAATTGTTGATCATTTCTGGGAATGTTTCTACTTTTTAATTTTAATCGTAGTTTTGTTCATTGATTTCTAAAATCACTCTTCACGTCGATGGCCGAAACGTATGGAAATATACTTATATGCACGGGATAAACTTGGGTTAATTATTGAAATTTATAATTTTGCGCAATAATTACCGCGCCGATTCCCACTAGCCTGTTACAGTCGAACCTCGATAACTCGAATCTCAAGGGAAAAGAAAAACCTCCCCTTCGAATTATAGAGTTTTCGACTTAGCAAAATTTGAGTAAAAGAGGATTAACATATGAAAATTTGACTTTTGAAGGCTTTGTACAAGAGTTTATAATTTTTCAATTATAATGGCTTTTAAAGGAAAAAAATCAATATTTAACGATGAATTATTTATTGCATACATATAATAAATGTAATCATAAAACAAAATACCAGTCTATTACTCATCATGGTTACACAGCTACAACTTCGAATTATATAGAGGCAACGACAGTGAAAGTTCGACTTATAGAGGTGAACTTCGACTTGTAAAGGTCTGGCGCTACTTTATTCGAGTTACAGAAGTAAAATAATACATCTAAATATCTGACAACTAATTCGAGTGAAGGTATAGGTTTTATTTTAATTTATAGAGGTTTTCCGCAGTGGAGCGGAAGGGGATGAACAAATGTTTCGTCTTACAAAGATTTTCGAGTTGTATAGAGGTTCGACTGTATATTTGAATTGTTGAAAATTACGATTAAACGAAGGGATGAGAAAACAGCTTCATTGTACGTGAGAATTTGATGACATCATTAGCGAGCGTAGGGTTGACACAAGTGCCGCCGTAACGTATGCGAAAGACACCCCAGGGACGCATTTCGCTGCCGTGAGAAAGAGAAGTGCGAATTTTCAGAAAATCCGATCGATACCCAGTTAAATTCAATTCAACATGTGTCCGTTCCCTGATTAATAAAATTTTATTTGAAAATTCGCTTTTTGTTCCAAATGGAAAACATTATAAGTTTAACATATTATATTGAATGATATAGAAATATTCTTTTTTGTATTCTTATTCTTTTTTAATTCTATTCTTTTAATTTTTTTATTCCTTTTTTAATTCCTATTCTTTTTAATTAAAATCAATTGCTGTTAGAATTAAATTATGCTACTAGATAATGAAAATAAATTACAATGATTCATTAACATGCCATCGTATAATTTATTCTAATATCATTATACAACATTGTGTACTTTAGTGAAAATAAAATCTGATTAATCCGATTTATTATCTTTTACAAAATTATTTTCTTTTTTTTTACTATTCAGAATTTATTTAATTAGTAGTTAACATCGCTATAAAATTTTTGTCCATTTAAATAAGTAATTATTTTATCACACAAAACTTGTAAAATTTGCATACTTAACAGATGTAATTCAATTTAAATAAATAGCATTTCTTCCTTATATACATTGGTTGCGATAAATATTATCAGTCTCAATGGTTGAATTGATAAGACATTCGCCTCGGAGATATTCCAAGTTTGAATCCTAACTGAGATTATATCTTTCGTAATAATTCTTTACAGTGTTTAGGATGTCTGTAGCATCGAATTAAATAGTAATTTAATTTGTGATATTATTTCACCTTTAGAGTATAATTGCGTTTAAAAATTTAATATTAATCAGCGCGCAGTTTACTGTAGCTAAAATTTAAAAATTAAAAATATTATTGAACAATATCTAACCTTGGCCGAAATTGGCGTTTCTCCCATATTTATTTGTAATATAATTTAATTGATCTAGTAAAATGTAGCTGACACAACATTCAGAAAAAAAGACATCTAGTGGCAACTATGAAAATGACAATTATACAGATTTTACATGTAGAATTAATATATACAATTGAATAAATTATTCTGTAGTTGCAATAACTATCTATATAAAATCGTTTTATTCAACTATGTATATTAATTTTATATCTAAAGATGTACAAACTTATATAATTGTTACTTTTTAAATTGCTTTTACAGTCACTGTTTTACAGACACTGTTTGAATATAAAAACGGCAAGAATACTTTTCTTATTGTTGCGTATTTATTCCCTCGTTAAAGGGTTAATCCGTTGAAGCGATCGTAATCGGTTGGATTGCACATTTGCCGGCGGAGAGGCGCGTCCGCATCTAAATTGCATTTCGTAATTGCGGAAGAATCGGCGGCGTGTTGCGTGAACATAAGGGGGCTTGCGCCAGCCACGCGGGGCCAATAGGGTAGTGAAATGCATTGCCCCGTGGCACCCCGCGGCGACGAACAGAAGGAATAGATTTCATCCGGATCGTCATCCTCGGGGTAGCAAGTGGTCGACATCTGCGTGCGACTGTTCGTTTCTCCGCAATGAAAATGTAACTACGACTGTTGCTGCTGGGAACGGGGGAGGGGGGAACATTTGCCTATTCTTTCCCGCGCCCTCTTTCCCTCGATCCGCTCTTTTTTTTCCACGCATTATTAGCATGCACAATGAGACACCGATAAATGAATCGGTGAGAAAGCATTGTGTTGCCGCGCAATGGGTAGTCTACTATTTAGTGTTATAGTCGCGTGCCCTTGATTTATCGTAATTAAGCTAAAGTAAAGTGGGTTTGGTCTCTATCTATCTTTATGATTTCTGTTTCTGATAAACGGATAGAAGTTATATTAGTAACAGAAATTACAAAAATTTGTGTGATTTTTATGTAAAATAATTATGTAAGATATAAAAACACGGTTTATAAAATTTCAATTTATTTCTGGATTGTCTCATGATTATAAATTAATAAAATCACTTACAGCTAATAAATATATAAATTTTGATGACTTGAGTAACAATTAAATTATTAATGCGTGCAATCAAATACATGGGAAAAATGATGTTGTAACAGTGTTAGCCAATAGCAGTATAATTGAAAATAATCTTGTTCTTCAATAACAGTATTAATAAAAGAAATGTTTTATTCAACCAATAATAAGTGGGAAAGAACCAAATTCGGCCCAAGCTAGATGTTGATTATTCAATAATAATCTTAATTTTTAAATCTTTAAATTTCAGCTATCGTATAAACTGCACGCCGATTAAATATTCGGACTTGCAACGCAATCATTAGCTGAGGCCGGAATAAAGATATCATATTGACAGGGTTGGTTAGTGGCTAGTTAAAAAGATTAAAATTAAGTTAAAAAGTTAAAAAGTTAAATAATTTTAACTTACAAGTTACATTTTAGGCTCTTAACTTTTAACTTAATTTAGTTACATTTTATTGGTAACTATTAACTTTTAATCTAACTTTCTTGAAGTTACACTTTTGTGCTTCTTGTAAACCCAAAATAAAATATATGCTAAGTTAGTGCCTTCAAACTCAAATTTGAGAATACATATCAAGGCAATTGTAATAATATAATAAATATAGTCTGACCGTGGGAAGAAATCACTGTTCGCGGACCTTCTGTGCATTAAATCACGTTGGAAGAAGTCCTTCGAAATCGGTCTTTTTTTCGTGGCTCGACAGAAATAAGTATAACAAATATATACTTTATTTAGAAACTTTATTTAGAAGCCCTAAAATTATAAAATGAAAAAATTTAACTTTAACTTTTCAATTACATTTTATTAACTTAACTTTTAACTCAATTAATTTTATTATGGGCTAACTTGTATCTTAACTAAGCTAAATTTTTAGACTGTTAACTTTAACTTAACTTAGTTAAAAAAATATACTAACTTACCCAACCCTGCTAATTACACTTCTGCTATTCTAGATAGCATTTTTGTCCAAAAATGAGTCTTCAAAATAACGTTTTATTGATGTCTCTAATTGTAAGTATCATGTCCTGCTTTTGGATATGATGCTGTCTGGGTTGTAATATGTAATTATCTTTAATTAATGAATAATTTTGTGTGAAGACATTAGTTTGTCAATTTCATCAATTGTATTCATATTTTTGTGATTTATCATAGATAAATATCCTTTTTTTTTTTAGATAAGTGTAGAACAATATAATGGTTATTTTGACTATATCGTTGCCAACGTTTAGATTCGTCCTGAAAAAAACGGTTTGCGAAGAAAGACCAACCGTTGGGAAGAATTTGGGCCGAGTCCTTAACCAACGTTGTTTGACTTTTGTAATCGGAAACTGCAGGACACTTTGTGATGATCCATGACTATTCGATATTCATAACTACATCCGTGATAGAGCAGATCAATAAAGTTA